CCAATATCTGGAGCAGATAACGTGAGCCCTCCCTGGTTGCTGTTCACAATCTGTCACACTTTCAGACCAGATCATACCCTGCAAGGTCAAAGAAAGACACAATTTTCATCTGACATCATTGGGATTGATATTATCTCCTAATAACATTGCATACGCATTTAATGAAAGGAAGCATCAAGCTGGAAGTTTGTAGAAGGCCAATTTAAGGTACAGAAGAGTTGATAATGGTGTCAGATAGATACATGTGACTTGCTAAGATTTGGATATCTGAGTGTGATTTTCCTGATACTACTCTGAGATCATCAACCATCACAATTGGCACAGCCTTTGCTGTGCCTGTGCTGGCACCGACTGACAGAGGGCAAGGTGATCTGAGCCCTTGGAAGGCTGGGAGTCATTTGCAGCAGGGGGAAGACAAGGCAACGTTTAAAGCAAATATCCTATTGTCATTTACCTGTTCCTAGTCCAAGATGAAATTACACCCTTGTTTCTTAAGGAGAGCACACAATAGTGCTTCATTTCAGTGGCTTGCTGCACAGCAAGCAGGCTCAAAGGTAGGCTATATTCAGCTTGATCCCCCGAGGCCTAACCGCTCTGGGAAAAGTAAAGCACTGCTCAATGCTTCTGGTTTTGAGTGGAGAGCCTACAGACATCCAATGAAAACCACAAAGCAAAGAGACTGAGGAGGCCTGGTCACAGTCTCTGTGTTAAAGCTGCAAAGTCTCCATGCGCAGTTCTGTTGGATGTAAACAGCATTCCTCTGCTGTAGTGGCAAACGATGCCTTCCTCCCTGCTGGGCCTCGAGATGTAGCCAAAACTTGTTTACTCTATAATTTAGAGTTCATTGTAATCTAAATGGAGATTTTTTGCAATGCAAATAGGTCTGTACAGAATGTAAGACATTTTATGTATCGCTACTGTTTATTACAGCTATATAACTTATCACTTATCACATAGACTAGATTGCAAAACACAGCATTTCAAACACACTTTAACTCTCAGATTGTCACCAGTAACAAGAATGTATTTTACTTATTACTCTTTCCCTCACAGTATTTTATGACAGTCTGCAGAAACCCCATTTTGCAGGAAAGAATTCCAAGGAATAGAAAAAGTCTGAATTCAAGTGCGAAGGTTGTTTTCAAGTGCGAAGGTTGTTTCTGGTTGCATTAATTGGCAGGCATCTAATGGTTCTGTATTTGATTTCCTAAAGCATACATATTCTGTCATGTATTCTGATATGCAATATATGGGGAAGCTTGCTACTAACCCCAAAATTCAGTGCTAGAGGAGAATCATAAAACCATAGAATGGCCTGAGCTGGAAAGGACCTCAAAGATCATCTAGTTTCAACTCCCTGCCGTGGGCAGGGTTGCCATAATCTTCCATAATGGTCTAATGCTGACGTTAGTAACTGCAGTTCAGCATTGCTGGAGCAGTCTGCTTGACTCTTCAAAAGCCCAGCAGGTCAGGAACAGCACTGTTCATGGCAAGGAGAAAGGACTTCTCCTCTTTGGCCTGTAGGAGGTGATCTAGGTTTATGTCTTCTGTAATGTACAAGTGTTGTAAACTGATAATTAGGCTCAATAAAGATGAAATTAAAATAGTGCCCTGTGAGGTGAGATGAAGTGGTTAACGTTTGTTACACACCCCAATGCTGGACCTTGATTCCCAGACAACACCCACCCTTCTCCAGGCGACACTGCTGATAAGTGACTCTCTTCAGCGAGGAAAACAAGTGATAAAGTGATAAATTCTTCAGTCGCTGTCAATGGAATATCATGCCTCTTGTGCAGCTCAGAGATTAGGAATCTTTTATTAGTTGATTACAATTCTAAGTGTACACGTTTGGGTTGTGTCTTAGAAGCCTGGTCCAACAAGCACTGCTGAACCACCCCAGTTCTCCTGTGTCCTGCTGCATTTGGGGTAGGATGGCTGGAGCCTCCTTCCAAGGAGGTTGGAGGTTGATAACAACAGCGTGGTTGGGCTGATGCTGTGGACAGCAGTCCTGCTCTGGGGACACGGTGGCATTATATGGCAGCTAGAGTGTCCTCAGCCCTTCCAGTGCCTCAGCTGCAGTAACAGTGTGATTGGTGCTGTGTGCCCTGGTCCTCCTGCGGCCCTCATCGCTGAGGCCATAGTGAGAGCTGCACAGCTGCACAAGTGGTGGTATGCTGGGATCTGAGCACCACAGGCATCCATCAAAATTCCTTTCAGCACACACACCTGGGCTCCTTCCCACAATAAAATGAGTAAGAAGATAAGGCTGGAGGTGCTTTTGGATTTTGGCCTAAAGTGGGATTGGGTGCATAGCTGAAGAACATGAATGGATTGAGGAAGTGCTACCTCATCTACAGCCCAAATGTGAAAAGACACTGATGATTTTAGCTGAGTGTTGTCACAAGTTCATACTCAGCAATATCAGGAGGGTCACCATAATAATAATATCAGAATGGTCACCATAAGAGGCACACTGATATAAATTCGGACTGCATGTGACATTTTGCTCTGCTATGATTAGTGTACAGCAGTTTGATAGCACTGAAGTAATTTGAAAGTGTTGGCAAGTGGTAGTTTGCATTTGACTATGTTATCTTAGGCTTCACCACTAGCAGAATTTGCATTTACACAGGTAGGTGGTAGCAAAGGAGCCACCAGTACTGACTGTTCCATAACAGAAGTTTTTCACCATTTGGGTTTGATAGGCAGTGCTCACTGGGTTAGTAGTGCTAGCAGCAGCATGGTTTCTTTCTTCTTTCTTTCTTTCTTTAAGTAAACCCCCAGCATCTCCAGAAATAATAGTCACTCTGCAGAAGCTGGTGTGAAGATGGTAGCAGTAAAGCTGTCATTTTTGAAAATGCTGTTCAGGAACTTCCACCATTTATTTGCTGATTGATTAGGGAGACTGTCAAGGTGTAAAAAGATGTGGAAGCAAACAGTCCAGCGTTCAAAGCTTCATGGCTTGTCACAAGAGCAGTTACAGTGCAGCCAAATCCTTGGTGATGTAAATAGCTGTCAGCTCTCAGTTATGCAGAGATCACTCCATAACAGTGTTTGCCCAACCTTTTAGATAAGTGAGCCCATTGTTTTCAGTGCCACGGCAGCTCCTGGATGCAGGCAGTGCTGCTCAGAACATTCTGCTTGCACCAGTTGTTTTCAGCACACAAACTCATGAAAGAGGAGAGAAAACGTCTTATGTTTTTTCCTCCAGGGGAGGTCTATTGCTGCACAGAGGTCAGAAGAAATACTCCTGGCTAAAGTGCAGCCTGGTTCACCACGGTCGCAGATTCGGGGGAGGACTGTCTGGCACTGATGGGATTCAAGCTTGCTGTTGTTCTTGGTAGCATCAAGCAGCATTTGGATGATCTCAGCTGAAAAGAGGCAGGTTGCCTCCTCTGCTGCTTGGCCTGTTTCTTTCTTCTTGTGAAGTGTATCTAACATAGCCATGATCATAAATGAATATTTGCAACCATGTACATGTGTGCAGGGCAGTCTGAATTAAAACATAAACTGAACAGGCCTTACAGTACTTTCTCCAAGAATCCAATTAAAAAAATACGCTTTCCATCACAAAGATGCTATCAACTCCAAAATGATGCTTTAAATTCCCAAGATAGATCATTAATAGTGTTTCAATCAAAATTTGATTATAATAATCCTAAACCATTTAATACAAGCCCTGCAGAGCCTTGTTGTTTTTTTTTTTAAACTGAATGAAACTAATAACAATGCCATCATCAAAAAGGAACAAAAAAAATCCCAGTTGATAATGAGGTAGTTTAACTCATTTCAGCACAGACTTTCTAAACTAAGGGCAAATGTTTTCTATAAAGCTGCTCTTTCTGAACATCAGCATTTATGAAAGTCACATCCACTAAATCTGTGGGTCTTTCTCATGAATGTTTTATCTAATTCCAGCTTTGCTAGCACGTCAGAGGATTGTGCTTTTGGTAGGCTTCCAGTTGTCTGGTAGAAATCCAGTTGCTTATTCATGGATGAAATCTGAACAAGATGGAAGATACTGCAATGAGTGGAATTACCTTTCGGCTTTGATGAGCTGGTCTGGAACCAGAGAGAGAAACAAAATTCTCTTAGAGATGATATTCCCTCTCCAGCTTTATTTATTTCCTTTCGCTCCACTCCATCCTTACGCTTTTCTCTGGGTGCTTGGCAAATATACAAGGGCTGTTAATATCGCTTCTTGGCTGAACATTAAATGCATACTTTCAAACATGACTGCTAACTCCTCCCTATCTTGCACCTCACTGATATGCCTGGATCTTTTGGCTCCGTGCCTAGGATTGTACATGTTCGTGGAATATCCCAAGGGAGATCCCGTCAAACTTCTTCTGTTCACATGACTCAGTGCTTGTTTGAAAGTGCCTGGTTGTTCAGCTTCTCTCTTTTTACATTTGAGTTTTGAAATACATTTATTTTATTGGACTTTGGAGAACTTTGCTTCAAACCAAGCAATTCCATTTTGCCTGAGCGTGAATAAGTTTGCTGGAAACTGTTGTGTTCACGAGAATACTGAGATATAATGGGTTGATAGACATTTACCTTAAAGAGAGAATCCAAACAATGAAAATACACCAACCTTTAGCCTACAATCATTATGTGTGGTATCTCTGTCATAAATATAATGCCTTGTGCAGAGTTCAAGGCTCACATATTTGAAGTCTGAGAGATTTTCCTTCCCATCAAGTTAAGAAGCAAAATGTTAAAGTTGTAGCTAAAGATAAATTGTAGTGGTTTCTTTTTTTTAAAGTTTGTTCACTTTTAATTTAAAATATACGGAAAAACATATAAGCTAGTCAACATAGTATATTTTTATCTACCATTGCAGTCTATATCACTTCTATATTAACCATCTCAAGCTAAAATATTCCAGACCATTTGGGCCTTAGTATAATGATGTTGTGATTTATTGCGCTCTCAGTTTCCATCCAGCAGCAATTACCAGAAGAGCTGATAATGGTCTGCAATTTGTTTTCCAGAACTGGGAGTTCTGTGCCAGCAACAGCCACTCACAGGGAAAGGCAGTGGCTGTTTACCTGCATTGCTCAGTGGGACCAGGAAGGACAGGTCAGTGACAACCCTCTGAGAATACAGAATGAAATACCAACCTGTAGAACTGATAACAGCTGTTTCTTCCAAAATGGTGCAGTGGGACTCAACAGAATAAAATCTGACTTGATGTTAAAATGCGATAAAAAGATGAGATCCTGCTAAAATAATGGACAACGTGTTCTTCTTCCTCTCCTTCAGTTTGCTCATCTTCATTTGCTATTTAAAACATCTCCTTGATGCCATGGATCGAGTGATACACCCCATTTTTAAGAGCTTACAGTTCTAGTTATTGGTGGAGGTTCCTTATAATGGAATTTACTGTAAGCACCTGTTATAGTTATATGGAGTCTTTATAATCCATGGGGTTAGAGTTGTTTCCTGTTTTGAACCGGTTTCTTGATGACCTTAGAGTCAATGTATTCAAGCTCCACGGATATTTTTCAGAATTTGAGCCTGCCCAGCTGTGACAACTGTTTATCAGCTGCCAAGAGATGAGTTCCTGTGAATCTCACTGCAAAGAACAGATATTTGTCTTCCAATATACGATTCTTTCATATTTGCTGAAAGCATTTGGGTTTCCTTAGCTATCAACAAGGTTAGTGTAGTTCTCTTTTATAGGAAAGGGTTTGCTGACAAGGGAAAAGTAATTTGACAAAAGGTGCCATAGCCTAGATCTTGGTAAACCTGCAAAGTAGGATTTCAGCAGATCAAGTGAGGACATCAGATAACTTCTAAATATTTGGCAGACTGAGAAACAGCTTTTTGTTTTCATTCAGAAAAGGAAAAAGTTTACATTTTACCATTGGAGGATGAAGTTGATTTTTAATATTGCTGATTTTAACTTCTTTGTCTTCTGTGCCCTCTCCTGCTAGTTCTTGTCTGTTCATACCGTGCTCTGGAGTGTAGTGACAGACCCCTAATCTATGTTCAGTACCTGGTATGTTAGAAGAGCAGCCATATAACTAACGTTGCTATTGGAACATAGTAAGTACTGATTATATTCTTCTCCCTTCTTCATGCATTCTTCATTAGACTCAGTACCTTCAGTTGTAGAATGGTAAGATGGATTTCTGCTGTGTATTATGTGGAGGAAAAGTTAAATGGCTTGCTCTCATCAAAATGGGCCATATCTTGTGGCCCATTCCTCTTTAAGATGGTTGGAAAGAGAGGAAAGATTCTTACTAGCATTCCCAGATCGCATGCTGAGCAGAAGGATCTGGTTCACATCGATAAGCAGAACTAAAACCTATGTCAAGGCAGTGTAGTAACCAGAAGACTGCAGATGGCAAATGTAGGTAAATAAGGACTATGCATTACTGCTTTATTCTTCCCTCTGCTTTGTTTCACATGTATACTTTTGTTTGCCAGCATTCCAGCCTGCTGTCTCCAAAGTCAGTGGGATTCCTACTAAGTTTTCAGCAACAGGACTATCAGCAGTTGCAGGCACTGTAATGCATTCTCACTTTGGCAAGGAGCCACAAGTATTTTCCCACCATCCTTCTCTCCAGTAGCAGCAGCTTCCCTTTTTTGGAGCTCATTTTACTCTTAAACACATCTGAAATTCACTTCTCAGCGAGTGACCAAAATAACCAGGTATTAGTTATGGCTAAGAACAAGGTCCAAAGTGTGATTCGTTATATTTCTTCAGTTCATCTAGAGTAAATAGGAACTTATCTGTGGGACTGTCTAGGTTTTGTACTTCTGTGATATCTGAAAACTATAGCTCAAGATCTCAGAGGAAACTTTGAACCCACTATACAAGTTTAAACAGGTTTGTGGCCTTTGGCTTTTTAATCTTTTCCTTGCTTCACTGTTAGATTTGAGTGATTGCCGAGTAGTGTAAAAGCCTGGAAATTGGATATTAATCTTGAAACTCTACTTTAGATTCTTTTCCCATGGAGGATGTCACACATTAAACCTTGCCCGTCCAGCTGGGCACAGAAGAAAGTTTTCCACTTTTATTTTAACTCTTAATCACAATGAGAATAGAGGAAACGCATCACTTTGCAAGGGTAGACACTGAAACAGCAAAAGACCTTTATGGCTTATTCTCATAGAAATTACAGCTTTGTGCTCACATCAAACCTATCCAGTAATGATATCAAAATGTTTTTCAAATCATAACTCAAAAAAAATACATACTTATATCTTACTGTTAAGATTGTAAGGCTGTTCTTGAGGTGGGAAGAGATTATGATATTTCGCTGCCCCAGCTGGCCTTACAGAATATATTAACCTCTTCTTTACTCTTTTAATCACTGTTGAATTTCTAACACCTTCTTGAAGAATCAGAGATCTGAATAATCATTCCATATGGGTTTGTAATATCTAAGAAAGTTTGCTTCTGAGAGGATATATGTAGGTCGCTCCAAAAGTAATGCCTCTTATTAATTTCTGTGGAAACAACACACCCAAAGAGTGCAATAATACTATTTAACAAAGCAAATTCTCACCTACAAAACAATTTTTCAACATAGTCAACATCACTGGCTTTGTATTTTTGCCCTCAATGAACAGGAGCTGCATGCTGCGCTCATAAAAATCTGCACCAACAGAGATGACCCACTGTTGCTGTTGCCACTGCTGAAACGCAGCACCCACCACTCACTTTGCTCATATCCAGTGTTTGGTTTCCATAAATGTTCAGCAAGTGTCAATGGATGCATTTTTTTTCTGCATGGAGGAATTCAATGACACATCTTTGCTTCATATGCACTTCCATGTCAGATACCATTTTGTCAGACTCTCCCCCTGCTGCCATCTGTCACACAGGCAACAAAATGGAATGGAGTATTGGTGGGAGGGTTCAACATCTATTGCCATACCACCACCATCTGCCTGTGACGTTGTGGATCAACAGAATAAGATAGGAGCTATTGCTTTCAGAACAGCCCCTGCATATTAGTGCTTCTATATTTTCGTAGAAGAATATGTAAGACTTAAGAGCACGCTATCAGAAGAAAGCTTCATATGGGAAGTTCAGCTCATAAGTCACATAATGCTTTTGAAAACTCCACCTTGCCAGCCCTTTGGTCTTTTGCCCACGTACTTCCTTTTGGTTCAAGAATTTCACTTAGTACTCAGCACAGTACTGATTTCACTCAGTACAGTATTTGTCTGGATGTCAGTTGATATGAAAATCAGACAAATAGAACAAATTAGTAATACAAGTTGGTTTTCCCATATATATAAGTTGGTTTTCCCTTATATATAAATAATACTTACATTTATGCCCTGTAGCACTTTTTATCTGCAGCTGTGCTATATGGAGAAAGTGGTTAGAATAACCACACCCTGGTTAGTTAGCTAAATTTTATTTTTACCTCTTTATATAATTGACAAATTCATCCACAGGTGGATGCAGTATCAAGGGTCTCATGAGAACTCCAGAGGCCTTGAACGTACTCCAGCTTTAAGGATAACAACACAATTTTTCTTTATGAAAGACTTTAAGATGTAAAGAACATAAGCTGTCACCAATTCCAACATACTGAGTGGGGCCAGGTCAGACCCTGATGATAATTTGCAACATGGAAAAGCCTGAAGTGACTTGTAGCTTAAGTGAGTGAGCCAAAATGAGAGTTCAGCCAGTGAACATCTTAAAGGTTATGTCTTCATCCAGTGCAAATCAGATCTCATCCAGTACAGTTGGGGACTCCCATTTGGTTTCTTGATTCTGTGCTGATTTACACCATTTTTGTGTGACCCTTTGCTCCTATCAGGCTTGCAAAATGCAAAATATATCTGCAAGTCTAATAATGTGGCTGAAACTGTTAATTACTGTACATACTTCTGGAAGATCTATAATATAATTAGCAGCTACTGTGAATTTCAAGATGACACGAGAGAAGATCTATGTGTTCCCTTTTAGCTCAAACATAGTTTACTTTGATAAATACAATTCTGAGATAAGAATAAGTGCATGTTACCTTGGCCAGTCTCTGCTGTGACACTGAGATATGTATTACCTCTTTGCTCCAATTATTCAAAATGGTGTTCCTTTCCCTTTTTCTCTGATTGCCCTTTTAAGCGTACTCTACCGCCCTTGCCAAAGGGGTGCAATTATCCCTACAGTTAAACCTCCTGATTTTGGGTGGAGAAGTTGTGTAAATGTGCTGCCAGTGTGGCAGCTTGGTGAATCAAACTTTCTGCTCTTACATAACTTCTTTCATTATGAGTCCCACCTGTTTTTTGAGCAAGAAGATGACCGAAACCAGTGAGCAAGAGAGCTTTCACTGTCCTGGTGTTGCCTGGTCTCTCACTGATGCCACGCTGCCTAAGCTTGCTGCTGGCCTGCCCCTTGACACCTCTAATGTCATAGCAGTGAGAATACTTCCTTTGTGTAAGACAAATGTTTGCCATATGTCTTGACATCGTCTGTGCTTGGGGATCAAGATTTGCTTTTTCTGCAGCCCCCTCAAAGAAGGTGCAGCGCCCCTCAAGACAGCAACACAACTGAATGCATGACTGAAGCATGCTTATTACAGAGCTCACTGTGTGAGGAACTCCTCTGTAACCTGCCAGCCTTTGTACTTGGGGTTGTTCAGTTCACTGATTAGAAACAATACTAGATGCACTTTTGATAAACTCTTTGTTGGACCTTTAATCTCTGCACAGCTGTGCTCATTTCAAACATGAAATCAGACTGTGTGCCATGCAGCACTGCATGTTGGTTAGGCAGTGACGAAAATGACAACGAAAAGATTGTGACAGCAATAGTAATCATGATGACGATAAAAATAAAATGATGTAACAGGAATATTTCTCATGTTACTTTTACTTAATATTAGCAATTCAGAGAAAAATTCAGAGTTTCCAAAAGATGGATTGGGAAACAAATTCCCAGACAGCAAAACTAAAGGTATAGTTGTTACTTATTTAATTATAAGGCTGGTTCTTTGAGGAAAAAAAGGAGACAGTTCAGATTTGAAACTTGGAAGTTGCCTGAAGCACAGACAGAGCTAAATAGGGGAACTCTGGGTTTGATTCCTTATGGATACAAGGGAAGTAAACTC